CATGGGTGCTCAGTCACTCAGTCATGTCCAACTCTTTGCAACCCTATGGACTGTAGCTCACCAAGATCCTCTGCACCATGAAATTTTCCAGGCAAGAATACTAGAGTGAATTGCCATTTTCTACTCCAAGGGATCTTCCTGACCCAGGAATCGAACCCAAGTCTCCTATATCTTCTGCATTGGCAGGCAGATTCTTTACCACTGCGCCACCCAGGAAGCCTATATGGAATATCAAGGGACCCCAAACAGCCAAAACAATTTTGAAAAAGAAGAGCAAAGCTGGAGGCCTCACAGTTTATGATTTTGTGCTATATTACAAAGCTACAGTGATCAAAAACAGTACAGTATTGGCCTAAAGTACAGCACTGTACAGTACTGGCCTGTATTCCATTTAAACCAATGGAACAGAATAGAGACCCCAGAAGTAAACCTTCCCACACATGATCAAATTATTTTTGACAAGGGTTCCAAGATCATTCAATAAGGAGACGATAATGTTTTCAACAAAAGATGCTAGGAAAACTGGATATTCACATAAACAAAGTCAGACTGAAGCCATATTAAAAATGTTCACTCAAAATGGATGAAAGACTCAAAAACAACAGCTGAAACTATAAAATGCTTAGAAGAAAATGTAAGTGAAATCTTCATTGCATTGCATTTAGCAATTATTTTTTGGATTAGACAACAAAAGCACAGATATTGAAACTCTCAGAGATTGCTAGTGGGAATGTTAAGATGATGCAGCTGCTGTGGAAAACAGTTTGGAACTTCCTCAAAAAGCTTAACATGGAATTACTGTGACTCAACAGTTCTACTCCTAGTTATATACCCCAAAGGAATTGAAAAGCAAGAACTGGAACAGATATTTGCATCCCAGTGTTCACCGCATTATTCACAGTAGCCAAAAGGTGAAAACAACCCAAGTGTTCATTAAAAACTGAATGGATAAACAAAATGTATTATATACATGAAATATCATCCATACAAAGAAATGAAGTTCTGATACATGCTACAACATGGATGAACCTTGAAAATAAGGTGAAAAAAACAGAAAAGTGAAAATACTGTATGATTTCACAATATGAGGCATCCAGAATATATGAAGCAAATTCATAGAGATTGAAAGTAGATTAAAGATTACCAGGGTCTTGGGAGAAGATGAGGAGTTTTTGTTTAATGGATAGAGTTTCTGTTTGGGGTGATGAAAAACCTTGGGAATAGATACTGGTGAAGGTTGTGTAGCCTTGTGAATGTCATTAATGCCACTGAATTGTGTACTTTAAAATGGTTAAAATGGCAAATTTTATGTTATATTTTTCACCACAATTTTAAAAAATTAATAATGTAATAAGATCAGAAGCTATTGAATTGTACTCATTAAATGTGTGAACTCTATAGAACGTGAATTATATGTCAGTAAAGCTATTTTTTAAAACTGATGGAAAACATTAGAAGATATTAAACTAGCTCATACACACACATAGTAGGTTTTTTATATATATAATTATTTATAGATCTATTTATCTTACTAGTAAATCACCATATAAACTGGAAAATCAATAAACAAACTTGAAAAATGCCATTAAAATCTTTCTATCAACAGTAGAATTAATTTTGGACTTCCCTGATGGCTCAGATGGCAAAGAATCTGCCTGTAATGCAGGAGATCTGGGCTTGGAGACCTGGGTTTGATATTAAAATCTTTATCAACAATAGAATTAATCTTTAAAAGGTACAAAATCTCCTGAGATATAAGAAAAGCTATGACCAACATAGACAGCATGCTAANGCGACCCCATGGACTGCAGCCTACCAGGCTCCTATGCCCATGGGATTTTCCAGGCAAGAGTACTGGAGTGGGGTGCCATTGCCTTCTCCAGATAAGTATTTCTATCAGTCACCAAATCATAAAATTTTAAGGGTAAGAAAGTACTCTGAAAGTCACCTAAACCAATGTATTTCAAATTGCAGGGGGAAGGAGGGTGAGTGATGCAGCCAGCATTCCATCTATGTTTTAGATCAATTTGAGATACACTGGTTGTAAATAACATAAATTGTTTGTTTATTGTAGGACTTCTAGGGGCCATAAATATTATATGTTAGTATACACTAAAGGGGGAAAAGTACCTCTAATAGGGGAAAGTAATACATAACATTTCCAAACCTAAACCTGTTTGACCATGGAGACCTTTTCTCACAAGGCCTATGGACACTGCCGGAAGCATAGTTCTAAGAACTACAGGTGGTTAGGGCATCTGCCCCAAAAACATTCAGCTATACTTTATGTCAATAAATAGTGTAAAATGCAAAAATCAATAAGTGTTTCAAGTTTCTTTAAATTAGATTAAATTTGGCTTTTTTAAAATACCAGTACTTACAAAGACTTTATTTTTTGCGGCCACCATTATCCTAGCACCATCAGCAGACCACGAGCAGCATTTCACTATCACTTCCAGATCCTCCTGAGGCTCCTCTGAATTCAGGAAGAACTGCTTCACATTAATGCTTTTCCTCTCGTTTGCAGATTTCACATCCCAAAGCTTCAAATTTCAAAAATAAAAAAATGTTTTAAGTTTGTTTTGATCTCAAGTCACACCTCTAGAATTCCACCTGGATTAAATGTCACACAAATTATTCAAGTTCACTTAATGAATTATTTTTCATTATGCATAACTTTTTATAAGGTTTTTAAATTAAGTATTCCAGTTTCATTCAGCACCTTCCTAAAAAGAAAAAAAAAAAAGTGCTGCCCAAAAAGAATGTAAAACTATATAAAATGTTAAAAGAGCCTTGCATGGTGTGGAGGAGGCTAAAGATTAGGCGTCGACAGCAAGGATGAGTGTTGAAGAAAGAAGGAAGGTATGACTCACGACTTGCCCCTGCTGCCCTCTGCTGTGCTAGGCATGAGGTGTGCCTCACAGCCTACTGTATGCACAGCATGGACGCTACACACAGGACCCAGGCCAAGCTGAGCTACATCTAGCAGAGCATCCAGAGGTATAAGGCAGTCCCTGAAAACACAAAACAAAGCTATGCTGAAGGGAAGCAAGACACCTCGTGCACTTGGTAGGGCTAAAGGGGTGTCTAAAACAACTGGATCCTGAGGAGTGGGAGACAAACCTCACTTACTAGCAAAGCCACCTGAGCAGCCCAAAAGACAAAGGCCTTCAAAAAAGATCTAGCTTGGAAAAAATAAATAAATAAAATAAAAATAAACAAAAAAGATCTAGCTTGGACTTGGCTGGTGGTCCAGGAGTTAACAATCCATCTTCCAATGCAGGGGACATGAGTTCAATCCCTGGTCTGGGGAGTTCCACATGCTGTGGAGCAACTAGGCCTGTGCACAAATACTGAGCCTGTGCTCTAGAGCCCACGAGTCACCACCACTGAAGCCCAAGTGCCCGAGAGCCTCCAGCAGCAACAGAAGCCACTTCGATGAGAAGCCCACACACCACAACAAAGAGTGGCCCCCACTCCCCACAACTAGAGGAAGCCTTTGTACAGCAACGAAGACCTGACGCAGCCAAAAATTAATTTTAACTAATTTGTTTTTTTAATCCATCTTCACTCCCCTTGGCCTTGTGCAGTGTCCCAGCTTCACAGAATGATAATGGCTGCCATACACAGACTGAGGGTTGGTCAAGGACAAGGATTTAAAACAAAACGAACAAACAAAAATGCTGCTTCTCAGGCTTGAACTCAGCTTCCAAAGCACAGCTCCGAGAGTAAAACCAGATCTGACCAGCCAGAGACAAGCTTCCCCAGTGCCTCAGTAGGTACAGAATCTGCCTGCACTGCAGAAGACAGAGTAGATACAAGTTTGATCCCTGGATCAGGAGAAGGAAATGGCAACCCACTCCAATATTCTTGCCTGGGAAATCCCATAGACAGAGGAGCCTGGTGGGCTACAGTCCACGGGGTTGCAAAGAGTCAGACACAACCAAGTGACTAAGCACACACATTTAAATCTCTCAAGTTTAAAGATTATATACACTAGAAATACAGCCAAACCCAAAATCTTTCCCCATGCAATAACTTTGGATAAACTGGATGAACCAAATGAAACTTCTGAAGTATTGTTAGCCCTTCTTGACACTAAAGAGAGAAAATCTAAACTCCAGTGCCAGAAGCTTCAGTCACATCAGCCAGATTATATGAGAAATCACACGGTTTCCCTCTTAACATGAAAAACAAAAGCAATCACTGCCTTGATTTAAAGAAGAAAAAAGAAAACTAACACAACCCAGTTTCACTACATCTTTTGCATGTGGGCCTGACTCTAGCTCCTATTCAAGGAGGGATGGAATTCCACATGTCGAGGGACCAATAAACACCTGAATCTCATTCTGAGCTAGTAGTCACTGCCCTGTCTCCAGGGCCCAAGTGCACTCTGGCCCTTGAGTGGTTTAAATGGCAATTTTTAAACAAAACTCACATTTTGAAACAGTTTATCATCGGGGCCTGAAAAACACATGTTTATCAACCTGATACACTACAAAACACTTAGATGATTGCAGAGCCATTTGGGGCAAGAAATAATTTTACAGTTCTCCATCATCTTGGAAAATAAAAGCTTAACAGGACACTGACCTTGAAAGGCTGTTGCCCGGCATCACTCTGCAGGACATCTGCTCACTGCACGTCGCTACATCAGCGCAAACAGCCAACGACCCTGGCCTAACAGCTCTGTGGGAAAGCCGCCACCGACGGCAGTTCTCACCCACAGTGCAGTGAGGTCTGCCCCTGCTGCCAGGCTCTGCGCTCCACAACCACATGCGGTACTCTCCAACGAAAGCAGAATCCTGTCCCTGAGGACTTTTAAAATGTTTTTCCTTTGCATTTCGAGAAGTCTTAATTCAATCTGAAGGGACATGATAAAGGTTTATCATCTTGCTTTGCGCTCCACAACCACATGCGGTACTCTCCAACAAAAGCAGAATCCTGTCCCTGAGGACTTTTAAAATGTTTTTCCTTTGTGTTTCAAGAAGTCTTAATTCAATCTGAAGGGACATGGTAAAGGTTTATCATCTTGCTCACATGATATAATCGGAGATTATATAAATGAATCAGATACAGACACTACTCTCAAGGAGTTTAGAGGCCAATAAAGGAGCTGAAGCTCCAATACTTTGGCCACCTCATGTGAAGAGTTGACTCATTGGAAAAGACCCTGATGCTGGGGGGGATTAGGGGCAGGAGGAGAAGGGGACGATAGATGATGAGATGGCTGGATGGNACTGCAGGAGTTGGTGATGGATAGGGAGGCCTGGCGTGCTGCAGTCCATGGGGTCGCAAAAAGTCGGACACGACTGAGCAACTGAACTGAACTGAAAGGAGGTAAGACAAGCACATAAATGACTAATGGGACTTTCCTGGCAGTCCAGAGGTTTAAGACTTTGCCTTCCAATACCGGGGGTATGGATACAATCCCTGGTTGGGGAGCTAAGACCTACCTGCCCTGGGGCCAAAAAACCAAAACATAAAAAGAAGCAATATTGTAACAAATTCAATGAAGACTTTTAAAAAATATGCTCCCCTTTAAAAAAATAAAATCACAAAATACGTCAGATGAGTCACTTGAAAGGGAAACACACAACACAGTGGAAACGCTTTACCAAACCAGTGGGCTTCAGGAAACACTTTTTACCTCCTCACTCTCCTGCCTGAAGATCAGCCTCTTTACACCAACTTAAGACGGACACAATTTCAATACCAAAATGATACTCAGGAGTTCAGGCTAAGGGGTCAGCATAAGTGAAGGTACAAAATGGGAAAGCAGAGAGAATGAAAAGGGAGAACAGGACAGTGTGGGAGCAGCAGCAAGGGTCTACACGCTCCCATACAGTACCTGCCTGCTCTGAGCCCCCGACACACACTTTACCAGCTTCATGGTTTGTTTATGACTTGGTTTTCTCCTCACTAGACCCTGAACAACTTCAGGCCAGGAAATGTACTTTTTTCCAAAAGTGTTTAAAAACCAAACGTCTAGTACAGAATCTGCCACATAGTAAGTACTCAATAAATAATCAGTAAATACATTTTAAGAGAAAAGACAGATTATTCCCATGTTTCAAACACAGGTGAAGAGAGACAATAGTGTTAGTGAAACAAAACAGGGTTCTGCAGATAGAATACATATATTCACCTCCATACCCTCCCAAAACCCACATGAAACAGGAGTAAAGAGAATTTTCCTCTCTAGGCATATTTTGAATACTCTCTAATAAAATTAAACATTATTTTAAAACATTAAAAAAAAAAGAATGGGTACACTTGAAAATATGATAGCAGAAATTTAAAACTAAATAGGAGAAGAAAATAAAGCTAAATAAATTTTCCAAGAAGCAGGACGAATGGATGAGGGGAGAAAAATAAGAAAACATCCCAACAGACAGACATTCTAGAAAAAGAAACTAGATGAGAATAAATCAAATGATTAAAGAAAACCTCCAGAACTGATGGACATGAATTTGCAGATTGAAAGAAGCTAGCAAGTGCCAAGAACAATAAACAAAGACAAACCCACACCAAGGCATATTGTCATGAAAGTTCTAAAAAGAGAAACACTGGAAATTTTATAAAGATCTTAAAAGTTTCAAGACCAGAAAAATAGATCGCATATGAATCAGAATGACTTCAAACATTTCAAGAGAAACTTCGGGAGTTCAAAAACAAGGAAGCAATGTCTCCAAAATTCTAAATTCTAAGAAAAAAATTATTTCCTTCTATATGCAATCAAAAATATCAATTAAATATGAAGCTAGAATAAAGGCACTTTTAGATAGACATGGTCTCAAAAATTTCCTCTCAGAGATTCTTTCTTAGAAAGTTAGGGGAGATTTTCCACCACACTAAGAATAAACCAATAAATTCAGGAAACGAGGGTTTCAACTGAAGAGAAAAGCAGGAGGATACCAGGATGGTAGTAAAGGGAGACCCCAGGATGGCAGCTGAACACTGGGGATAAACAGTATCACCAGTCACAATGGAACAAGACAGAAGCCTCCAAGAAAATCATTTCTAAGAAAAGAAAATGTCAAATCAAATAACTGAATTATTTAAGAGCAACTTAGACATGGGATGGCTTAAAGACAGATGAGTGATATGCACATTTAAAAAAATAAGCAAATGAAAACACAAAACGACACTGTTAACTGTCCAACACATTTAACCCCAAAGAGAACAAGGTATGTGAGGAAGGAGGGGAAAAAAATCGTCATATACTACATGGCCCAACTGTGATCAGTCAGGATGATGTAAATCCTGAACACTGGTCTAATCAAAACAATGAAAACATACAGGAACCATAAAAAGTAGGTCAGTTTGGGGAAGAAAAAATGAGTTCAGTTTGGAGGACAATGAGTTTGAGGTACGGTGTATTATCTAAGTGATAGCACATGAGCAGACAGTTAAAAATGCAGGACATAAGCACGTAAGAGAAACGAGGGCAGGACAGAACACATGTGAAACACACTCACGTGAGAGAGGAGAGAAAGCCATGAGACTGGCTGACATGGAACAGAAAAAAGGTGAAGGAGGTGGCAGTCAAGACTAGATGCTTGAGGAACGGCCATGTTTTAATGGGAAGGAAAAAGTTAAAGAAGAGCTAAGAGAGACAGGCTTCCCTGGTGGCTCCGACGGTAAAGGGTCGGCCTGCAATGCAGGAGACCTGGGTTTGATCCCTGGGTTGGGAAGACCCCCTGGAGGAGGGCACAGCAACCCACTCCAGTGCTCTTGCCTGGAGAATCCCCGTGGACAGAGGAGCCCGGCGGGCTACAGTCCACAGGGTCACAAAGAGTCAGACACAACTGAGTGACTAAGCGCAGCACAGCAAGAGAGACAGGAGAAGAAAGAAGAAAACACTGATGTCAAATGAGGAGTTTCAAAAAGGAAACACAGGTGGTCAACAGGAGTGTGATAACACAGACACGACTGAGTGACTAAGTGCAGCACAGCAAGAGAGACAGGAGAAGAAAGAAGAAAACACTGATGTCAAATGAGGAGTTTCAAAAAGGAAACACAGGTGGTCAACAGGAGTGTGATAACAAGGGAAAGAATAAAAATTGGATAAAGAAAAATACTGGATCCCACACTCATCACTTTAGATTTTACATCAAAAAGAATGAAAATGAAATAAAACTGGATTTTACTCTTCAAGGGAATACACAGAAGACAGAACCAGGCTGAAAAAGGGTTAAGCAGTGAACGAGTAGTCAGGAAGTGGAGGCAAGTGTAGGTGACTTAAAGGTCTAGTCAGAAAGAAAAACTGAATGTTTCAGAGGATAACACAATCAAGGAAGAATCAAAGGGTTTTCACTGTTCTGGTTTTATAATGCTTAGGAAGGCCCAAGAACATCTGTAAGCTGTGGAAAGGGGTTCAAAAGAAAAGAAAAACTGAAAATGCAACACAGAAATAACCAATGGGGCAAGGTGTCAGAGGAAGAAGGAGAAAAGAAACAGCAGCACAAGTAGAGGACTTCCTGAGAAAGGAGACGAGAAAAAAGAAGCGCAGTAGAGCCTTTCACTTCCCAGGTGGCACTAGAGGTAAAGAACCCACCTGCCAATGCAGAAGACCTGAGAGACACAGGTTCGATCCCTGGGTTGGGGAAGATCCCCTGAAGGAGGGCACGGCACTCCAACCCACTCCAGTCTTTTTGCCCGGAGATTCCCACGGACAGAGGAGCCTGGCAGGCTACGGTCCACAGGGTCACAGAGAGTCAGACACGACTGAAGTGTCTCAGCATGTAGCATGTTGAGTCTTTTATGGCAATTTCTGAGGGAGCTCATGATGGGTGGCTCTTGGGTGGTGTCAACCTTCTGCATAGGTATGAGGTAAGGTTATCTCCATAGAATGAAAGAGATATAGTGATAGGGTTGGGGGCTTAAGAACAAGAAGAAAGGTTTGGAACAAGCACTATGGTGAATTCAATTCAGCGAACAAACTTGGCAGCAAAGAAGGCCTAGTTGAGTTGTACAAGTGAAATTGTTAAACAGATAAATGGCCTGGTTTCACAACTTTCTTCAACATTAAATAACCTAATAATAATGGAATCTTCCCAGAACTTAGAATTAGCAATGGAGATAAAAGGAGAACCTGCCTTGAGATATAAAATGCTTTCTTGAAGTCATTCTCTAAGTAAAAACCAAAAACTCATAGGACTGAAAGAATTTTTCATAAGAGTGCTGCCTTCACCAGGCCTCTGAAAAACCTCCGACATGGATCATCCCAAAGAAGACACAGATATTTGGTATTTACAGAGAACATGTCACAGAGGCCAAATCCATTTATCTGAATGTTCTAAGAATGCTCCCAACATCTACTAAATGCTAGGAAACTCTATAAAGTAACATTCTATCCAGAAAATCCCTAGATGCCCTGAAGTAATCTATACAAAAATGAGATATCCTCAGTCAACAAAGAGAGGTTAAAGATTCAACGAAAGGATCAGCATCAAGAGAGTTTAGCTTGCTGTAACTTAAGTCACCTAGTAGCATTAACAAATCTCTAGAGATTCTAACAAGTAAAACACAGCCTGGTGGGTTCAAGTATTTCCCGGGAAAAGGTACATGCCAAGAAAATCTACTGAGCACATGTTTTGAGTACAACTGTGTACAATGAACTTCAGAGAGTTACAACAAGATGACAAGGTCTCTGCAGGTCATATTTAATCTTATTTATATTTAACCTTATCAAAGAAACCTATATTTAACCTTATTAAAGAAACAGAAGACACATGAAAATGACTAAACTGAACCATGCAACAAATTCATAAGTGGAGGGCTCCCCTGGGGGCTCAGTGGTGAAGAATCCCCCTGCCAATGCAGGAGACATGGGTTCAATCCCTAGTCCAGGAAGATCCCACATGCCACAGAGCAGCTAAGCCTATGGGCCTACTGCTGAGCCTATGCTCTAGATCCTGGGAGCCACGACTACTGAGCCCATGTGCTGCAATTACTGAAGCCTGTACACCTAGAGCCCATGCTCTGCAACAAGAGAAGCCACAGCGATGACAAGCCTGCACACTGCAACTAGAGAGTGGCCCCCACCCAACACAGCTAGAGAAAAAGCCCGTGCAGCAATCAAGACCCGACACAGCCAGAAACTTTTAAAAATAAATATATATGTTTTTTAATTTACAAGCGGAAATCAGAAGATCAAGCAGTTTCCATCTGTACATACAGATATAGGTAGATAGATATGTATATATATTCTCACAACCAGATGGATGGATGTTATAAGAGAACACTCTCTGAAGAAGACTTTGCATTTACTGTGTGTTAAATTTATAAAGTTGAGGGTCATCAAAAACTATAGACAAGTGAATTGGAGGCAAAAAAAAAAAAATTTCAAAAAGACTAATGAAACACATAAATAGGGACAGTAGCTGAAATGAGCGCCCAAAATTATCTTGCCCAGAAGTGACAATTAATGTACTGAATAGGAACAGAGATAAAAATGATGAAGGTGAAGACCTTAGAGGTATGTCTGATGAGCCTGGGTTTATAAAATTGAGAACTTGGTACTTTCATGTTCCAGCTAAAAAAGCCAAAATGAAAACAGAGGTAGAGTCCATCTAGCAGCTATGTGTTGAGATAGAGAGAGATGCAGAAGGTTGCTATGAGACATGAGGGTCTGACACCATGAACCAGAGCAAACACTACAGCATGGGAGGGAGATGAGGGAGTCAAAGAAGGACTGGATTCAACACGAAAGGAAGACCAGAATAACGGCAGAGACAGGAAACGGCAAAGAAAGTGGCATTAGGATCTTATTGAGAAGGTGGAGATTTTAAAATTTTAGTTTTTTTATAAACACTATAGATTCATGTCAATGTATGGCAAAAACCACTACAATATTGTAAAGTAATTAGCCTCCAACTAATAAAAATAAATGGAAAAAATAAAATTTAAAAAAATAAATTAAAAAAAAATAAAAAACAAAAGATTGTTAAAGGGAAAGAAAAAAAAAAACCACTATAAATTTCAGGAGGCTGAATAAGTTTTTTTTTCCTAGCTCTGACTTTCCCCCCATGATTTCTCAAGAACAGGAATACAGGAACATAGAAAGCAGAATAAGCGAATGATAAATAAAAGCAAGAACTTTACAAACTTGATACCATAGAGCTCAAAAGGTTTTATAAAATCATAATTAAATACAATGCTTAAAATAAAGAACTTGGGCTTCTCTGGTGGCTCAGCGGTAAAGAATCCACCCACCAACGCAGGAGACAAGGGTTCAGTCCTTGATCCTGGAAGATCCCACATGCTGTGGAGCAACTAAGCCCACGTGCCCCAACTACTGAGGCTGTGCTCTACAGGCCAGGAGCTGCAACTGCTGAACCCCCCACGCCCCAGAACCCACGCTCCAGGGAGAGAAGAGAAGCCGCTGCCATGAGCAGCCCACACACCCCACCTAGAGAGCAGCCCCCACTTGCCCAAACTAGAGAGAAGCTGGACGAGCAACAAAGACCCAGCACAGCCAAAAGTAAAATAAATAAACACATTTCTAAAAACACTAAAGAACTTCAATTATACGAACTTTAAAGCACAGGGTAGTAAACCATTAATAAACAATCATTATGACAAGGAATTACATTAAAAATGCTCCTGGAAGGTGAAGGAAGCAGCTTTCTGTAGCAATGTGAAAAACAGAAACCTATTTCCATAACCCAAGTATAAGATAATACAGTTATGAAAACTCACTTTAACAATGAACAAAACCATACCTTTAATGTTCCATCAGCTGAACAACTAGCCAAAACCTGATCATCTGGTGAAAATCTGCAGTGACTGACTGAATTCGTATGGCCAAACATGGTATTTCGACATTCTTCTTGATTCAGATCCCAGAGCTATTTGAGAAAGATAAAAAGATAACTGAAACATTACCACTGAATGGGGAAAAGTTAGAAATCATGTAAAGTTCTTCCTCCCCTCCCACTTAAGCTTTTCCAGTTATAGGAATATGTTCAATTCAGTTTGACAAAGGTGTCAAACATAAAGGTGAGCATGTAATTAACAAGTAATGGGGCGGCCCTTAGATTAGCACCTAAATCTAAGGGACCTGAAGACTTACCTAGGCTTTCATCTGAGAACTAAACTAGCCATTGCTTATTTTTAACAAAGCAGTTTGAAATTATTTTTTTATTCAGCTCTATAATAAGTAATATGTAAAATAAATTACATTTTATTTGTAATTTTTTGAGATGCTAAGTTATCCAACTCTATAAATGGTCATTGCATAGATTTCCCGATACAAACCTTGAGTCTACTAACTAGGCTAAAATCTATTAACACTCTAGAAAATGATTCAAAAATATAAAGACTGTATAGATAGATATAGACTCATCTGACAGCAAACATAATGGATCAGAACAGCAAGTTAAACAACCCTTCCTGGAAGCAGTCAACCAAATCCACAATGTGGGACATTCCACAGGAAAACTGACTCAATTTCTCTAACAAATCAGTGGCGTAAAAAAAGAGGAAGCAGGAAGGAGAACGTTTATAGAATAACTAAGTGTCTTAAGAGACCTATCAACCAAATGCCACTTGAAGTTTGGATTCTGACTGGAGTAGGTTGCCATCTCCTTCTCCAGAGAATCTTCTCAACCCAGGAATCGAACCTACATCTCTTACAACTCCAGCACTGGAAGGCGGATTCTTTACCACTAGCACCACCTTGGGAAGCCCAAATCTATGGCAGAAAGATATGTTTTGAGACTAATAAGAAAAAAGGAATATGGACCAGGTATACTATGAAATTGTTTATTATGCTAGGTATGATAAAGACATGCTATTTATGTTTTATACCTGAGAGATACGTGCCAAAGTATACTGAGTGAAATGATGGGATCTGCTATAAAATGCTTAGTCCAAAAAAAAATGGGATATAGTAGGGGAATAAAATATGATTGGCAAAATGCTGTTAATTGTTGGAGCTAGGCAATAGACAGCACGGGGTTCATGATTATTCTTTCTCCTTTGGGGTATGTCTGAAAAGTATAAAAAATGTAAACAAAAGGCAACAGTCATCTCTGGTGACTTATGCTACCTAGGTTAAAAAAGTAAAGAGAAAAAATATACAAGCAACTCCTCCAGCTCAACTCCAGAAAAATAAATGACCCAATCAAAAAATGGGCCAAAGAACTAAACAGACATTTCTCCAAGGAAGACATACAGATGGCTAAAAAACACATGAAAAGATGCTCAACATCACTCATTATCAGAGAAATGCAAATCAAAACCACAATGAGGTACCATTACACGCCAGTCAGGATGGCTGCTATCCAAAAGTCTACAAGCAATAAATGCTGGAGAGGGTGTGGAGAAAAGGGAACCCTCTTACACTGTTGGTGGGAATGCAAATTAGTACAGCCACTATGGAAAACAGTGTGGAGATTTCTTAAAAAGCTGGAAATAGAACTGCCATATGACCCAGCAATCCCACTTCTGGGCATACACACCAAGGAAACCAGATCTGAAAGAGACACGTGCACCCCAATGTTCATCGCAGCACTGTTTATAATAGCCAGGACATGGAAGCAACCCAGATGCCCATCAGCAGACGAATGGATGAGGAAGCTGTGGTACATATACACCATGGAATATTACTCAGCCATTAAAAAGAATTCATTTGAATCAGTTCTAATGAGATGGATGAAACTGGAGCCCATTATACAGAGTGAAGTAAGCCAGAAAGATAAAGACCATTACAGTATACTAACACATATATATGGAATTTAGAAAGATGGTAATGATAACCCTATATGCAAAACAGAAAAAGAGACACAGATGTATAGAACAGACTTTTGGACTCTGTGGGAGAAGGCGAGGGTGGGATGTTTCAAGAGAACAGCATCGAAACATGTATATTATCTAGGGTGAAACAGATCACCAGCCCAGGTTGGATGCATGAGACAAGTGCTCGGGCCTGGTGCACTGGGAAGACCCAGAGGGATCGGGTGGAGAGGGAGGTGGGAGGGGGGACCGGGATGGGGAATACATGTAAATCCATGGCTAATTCATTTCAATGTATGACAAAAACCACTGCAATGATGTAAAGTAATTAGCCTCCAACTAATAAAAATAAATGGAAAAAAAAAAGAGAGAGAGAAATACTTTATGTCCCAAAATTAATTTTGGTAAAAATCCTTTGGGAATAATCAGTAAATGAGTAAGTCCTGATCCTTATGTCCATCTCCATCCCTGGGCTCCTTTAATCCCAGTCCGAGATAAACCCAAATCTGCAGATAACACAAGTTACATGGGGGCAACTTCAGATTTACATCTTTTCATTGATTTCTCTCAGTTCAAAAAGCACAAGAAGTAAGTTCTAACAGACCTCATGGAAATGCAGGTGTGGAAAGACAGGTCTTAAAGTAAAACTTGTCCTTAATTAAAATGGTTGACCAACCAATAACCACTTCCCACATCTTAGAGAATTTTGTCTATATTTAAAAAAAGGAAATATGAACTTCCTCATCCTACAAAATGTTAAAAGGAAACGTCAAAAGTTATTCACAGATATCTGTTGTATATCTATCCCAAACAATTTTCCATCTGAAAAGCACTAATTTTAATTAAGTCAGAGAAAGACAAATACTGTATTATCATACATATATATTCCACTTATATGTGGAATCTAAAAAATACACCAAACTAGTGAATGTAACAAAAAAGAAACAGATACAGAGAACAAGCTAGTGGTTACCAGTGGGGAGAAGGAAGGGAGGGGAAGATAGTGGCAGGGGACTAAGAGGTACAAACTATCGCGTGTAAAATAAGCTACAAGGATATACCGCACAACAGTTTTCTCTATGGGAAAGCCACGGGCCCTGAGCCTGTGATTATGAGCTACAGTAACCATGCACACCCGAGCCAAGGATACCCATATTTCCCACCATACAGATGGAATATGCCTGTCAACACAAAGGGAAATGGGATCCAGAGATGCAGGAGGAGTTTGAGGGCCTGAGAATGTAGTTCAGGCACCTGGAATCAGCTATGCCTGAAGACAGGCTCCTTCCATACTTTCCAGTTTCAAGAGCCAGTAACATCCTTTTTGCTGTTGTTGCTTAAGCTAATACGAAAGTTTCTATCCCTGTAACCAAAAGATCTTTGATTAACACAATATATGAAAAAAAACATCAAAGGAGATGTTCTGATATATCTATCAAATTTATCTACATGATTCTCATTCACACTTACTTTAAGGAAGTGGTCATTTGAACCAGTGGCTAAGAGAAGGTGATTACTGTTGTTGGTGAAGTGGCAGCAATTGACTTGCTCTGAGTGCTCATCATAGATACGCACTAGTTCCCCAGTCATTGAATTCCAAATCTGAAGAGAATAGAGAGAATAAAGTTTACAAGTACCTTATTTTCAAAGGGAATATAGAGAAGCAAAGCAAATGTGAGCTCTTTTGCAGATGTTATCCATCCTGTCTGCCAGGTTTTCCCAGTCAGACATGATGCTAATGAATATCTCCCCCTTCCCTAAAATGTCAGCATTTTGCAAGAATTTTTTTTTTAATTACCTGCAAGTAACGCAAAACATTACATTTTTCAAGGGCAAGATTTCACATGTTCATATGAATGATAGCAGGCAGAAAAGTGTTATAAAGGGGATGGGATAATGGACCTCAGATAAGAAAAATTAATCACAGCCAGTCCAAGGCCCAGCTCTACCATTTTTAAGTTGGGTATACCTAGTCAAGTCCTTAATTTACCTGCATCTCAGCTCCCCACTCTGAAAAATGGGAATACTTGCACCTGTCTTCCACAATTCATGGTGTCAAATGACAAATAACTTGACAAGTGTTCTGCTGACTTCAAGGTACTAATAAATAAGTAAAGGCAGATGTGTAAGTGGGAAAAAAAAAATAAAAGCTGGGGAAACCTAGCTTTTAATCATGGTTCCACTGCTGCTACTACTGCTAAGTCACTTCAGTCGTGTCTGACTCTGTGCGACCCCAGAGACAGCAGCCTACCAGGCTCCTCTGTCCCTGGGATTCTCCAGGCAAGAACACTGCAGTGTGTTGCCATTTCCTTCTCCAATCATGGTTCCACTAGGTATTAGTTAATATAACCTGGGCAAGTGACTTCATCTCTGAACTTGTTTCCTCATCTGTAAAATGGGATCAACACTTACCAAGATGTAGTGAGAAAAGGATAATGTAATATGAGTAAGTGTATAGTATAAAGCCTCACGCAGTGTTAAGTTCTCAAGAATTCTTCTTCATGGTTACTATGAAAGTAATCTGCTCCATTGAAGAAACAAAAGAAATAAATTACCTAGTGATTCTTTACTGGGCTTTGGACTGTTAGAGGTACTAATGTCCCTTCCACAGCATTTTGTTTTATCCTCTCAAAGCACTCCCCAGAAGTCCAGAGAGTTTACTTCAAAATTCTTCAATAAGTATTTCAGCCTCTTGCTTTAAATTTCTTACAAACAGAAGCTTGAGCCACATAGCTCTGACTCTGGAACAGCACAGAACGGCCAACTCCAAGTCTGACTCAGAATAGAGGCTACAAAGTAAACTAACTGGTTGGTTGCAAAACTACATAGAGTCTAATCTATCAAGAAGTAGATTTTTCCTGGACACTCCAAGGTCCTCTTCAAGTAGGTGCAAACTTCAGGAAAACTTTCAAGTCACTTTCATATTCCCAGGTCCACTAAGGCCCACCCCACTTATCCAGATTCAGCACTCCACACCCCTTTTGGAAAAAAGCCTACAATGACGATTTCCCTCCATTTGTCAAATAAAACATTCCTCTAGACTTCAGGTTCTCTTAAATTCCACATAAATGCTCTGGCTTAAAGCCAAATTTAGGAATGAGAGACAAAAAAATAATTAAAGGTAAAAATCAATGGGTTTTCTTTTCTCTATTTACTTTGTAGACTAGTAACCTGATTGTTAGTATGTTTATTCATCTAGTTTTGCACTGAATACAAGACAGTTCATAAAGATAAAAAATCCGGGTTGCATTTCAAAGATTATATATTTTACAACAGGAATCAATCTCAGACAATAATTTTCTGCAACAACACTTCCGATCACAATACACTCAGAGATTTCAATTGATATTTAACTCACAGACTTATCAATAAATGGCAGGAAAATTCATTAATTTGAAATTGCTTTTCCCAGCTGCCTGATAAATATCATGGGCTGATCAACCTAGGCATTTTTGCTAGTGCTTATAAATAAAAAATTTTAGACAGCATTAATTTATAATGGATAAAAACTGGTTGGCCTCAAGTTAGTCAATAAAGAGGCAAGAGTCCTTTAACCCAACTTATTCTAGTCCCTCAGTAACAGAAAAAGAAAATAAATTTTATGGTGGTTACAACTCAAGAAGAAAATAGTTCCACACCTTTACTTTCTTATCCACTGAGCAGGTTGCTATAAATCTGTCATCTGCAGAGAATGCACAGCAAAGCACTTCATCATCATGAGCCTTGATTTCTAGAAGTTTCTCTCCTGTTTCAGCTTTGAATACCTATACACAGAACAATAAGATCTTTTTACTATAACTGCTTACCCATGGGTCATCATTCAATAAAAAATATTTCTTTAAAAGACCTTAATCACTATTATTTTGCAAGAGAAGTGAACCTTGGCAATATCAATCCAAAAAAATCAAAATTTGTCAGAATTCATATGCCTTAACATAAAAAAGAAAATTGTCCCTTGTTAAATGTTTATAACATCAATAAAAAGAACTGACAGGACAGCTTCAGTTCTTGAAAATAGCTTAACAAATTCTTAACAATCAACAGAAAACAAATTATTAAATATGCTTTCTGTGGCTCAAAAGCCAAATCAATACAAGTGGTAATCAAGTACACATATAGAAGTAAGGCTTACAATCATAGCCTTGCAATCTTAATTTTTTAAAAAATACTATTTATTTATTTGGCTGCATCAGGTCTTACTTGCAGCATGTGGGACCTTTTTTAGTTGTAGCACGTGAACTCTTAGTTGCAGCACATGAGATCTAGTTCCCCAACCAGGGATTGAACCTGGGCCCCCTGAGCTGGGAACATGGAGTCTTAGCCACTAGACCACCAGGGAAGTCCTTTGTAATCTTAAATTTAAGTGTTTTAAAACTAATTTTTGTTTCCTTCAAAATCAAAAGGTTCAATACCAATTTAAAGAAAAACACTCAATCATGCTGTCTGAAAACAAATGAGAAATTAAAGAAAGCACCTTCAAGCATCTTAGGAAATAGTCTAGTCCAATTCCTATTTACAGTCAGAAATTTTCCCAAGCCTGTGACAAAACAGGTATTTGATTTAATCAGCATGTTTTAATCAGAGCCCTGTTCACTGCACTAAGACATCCTTCTGTCCCCTTTAACAGTGATCATTTCCTCATTACCCTTAGCTGGCACATGGGTGACAGTAACAGAATGCTAAGGTGAAAGGCACTTCTACAACACTTGGCAAGTTTAAAATTATGAAAACACACCACCAGATCTTTTAAATCTATAGAGAGATCTTTCATAAGATGTTCAAGAGATCTCAATGTTCCTCTACTCCTAATGTGTAATTTTCTTGAGTTTCAGAATTGAAATATACTCTAATACGCACACAGGAATTCCCTGGCAGTCTAATGGTTAGGACTTGGCACTTTCACTGCCAGGGCCCAGGTTCAATTCTTGGTTGGGGAACTAAGATCCCACAAGTCATGTGGCATGGCCAAAAAAGAAAAAGAAAAAATACACCCAGTATTAGGTACATGACTCAATTTTTCTCAAAAGAGAGGTTCACCTGTAAAGTCTTATCAGCTCCACAAGAAGCTATTCTTTGACCATCTTCAGAAAAGCAAGCATGGTAAACAGCATCTGTGTGGGGGCGGACAACCAAGCGGGAGAGGCTCTTCATGTTTTTTTTGTTTCTAAATATAAGGAAAAAACAAACAGAAACCAAATAAATGTAAGTAATCACTTTCTTTCCATAATAAACTCTTTTAACACAGTTATGCTCCAAAATATAAAAAACTCTTACATTATCAACATGGAAATGACAGCGGAGATCACTGGAAGTAAAAAAGCATAACAGCAAGCAGCATCTCAAGATAAAAGTTACCCAGTATCAAGCAACCTATCATGTATTATAAATATCCAGTTAATCAAATACACATCATTTTTTATCGTCCTCTGATACTTTAATAACAACATGTGCAGAGAAAACATTATGAGAGGAAAAACCTCAAAAAAAAAAAATCTCTTTTTTAAAAGGAAAGAGTTATAACAAAATGAAGCTCATTCCGTAACTAAAATATGACATTACACCCACCATTATGATATGCACTTTAAAACTGCTCTTCTCTAATTATTCCAATATAGAGGGGGAAAAAAGTCATTTTCTTTGTATCTTAATCTACTAAATACTATTCCACTACTATATATATTATATTACTTTACAGGGCTAAAGAATAAAGGAATGTAATGCACATACTTAAAATGGGGAAAATATTAGAAGTATCTGAATTACACACACATATACACTCCAGTCACTATGAGTAAGTATGTTAAATGGTATCACCTTAAGAGTCAAAGGTTAGGAGTCAGATAAACATAAAAGGCCACCCTAGTTCTACTACTTACTGGATGTGTAAACGTACACAAATAACGTAAGCTAGTAAGTTTCCTTTTCCTCATATGTAAATGTAAGTAACGATACCTATTCTAAGCAAGTGTTACACACAAAACAGACCAAAGGAAAAAAGGGAACACAAAGGTAAATCAGACTTAAATCTTGCCTAGGAAGTATTAAACTTCACTAGAAGTGATTAAAAAAACAAGCTACAAAAACTAGAGTGATGAGAATCCAGAGGATAAACAGGTAAGTTACCAGCAAAGTTTAGAGAATAAGATTAAGAAACTACTTTCCACTATCTATCTACTCAATTTCTCAAAATTCGGAAACTGCCAGTCACAATGATGCACATATAGCCAAAAAGTATTAAAGAACAAATCAATCTATGAATAAGTGATTTCTTTGAAAGCTGAAACTCAGTTAAGTTTATACGAACCTAAACTTTCTACAGAAAGAACAGAAAAGCTTTCTAGTACTGAAAAATAAAGCTTCTTTGAACATGACCTGGTCAAACCCAGTTAAGGCTTACCCAGTGGCTCAGTAGTAAAGAACCCACCTGCCAACACAGGAGACATGAGCTCTATACCTGACCCTGCTCGCACATGCTGTGAAGCAACTAAGCCTGTGCAACACAATTACTGAGTCTAAGCTCTAGAGCCCCAGAGCCACAACAACTGAAGCCTGTGCACCCAGAGCCCGTGCTCTGCAACAAGAAGCACCACAATGAGAAGCCCGTACATTGCAACTAGAGAAAAATCATGCAGCAACGAAGACCCAGCACAACCAAAAATAATCAATCAATTTATTAATAAAAAAATACAGCTATAAAGGGCATTCCCTGGCAGTCCAGTGGTTGGGACTCCATGCTTCCACTGTAGGGGACACGGATTCCACCCTTGGTCAGGGAACTGGGATCTCACAAGCCACAGAGCCAGAAAAAAAGAAAAAACAATGATATAGCTATGAATGACTAAGCATCAAAGGGTTGAAATACAAGTGATGGAATGAGGGAAAAAAAGAAAAAATAATAACAAACTCAACAATTCAAAAGAGAACAAGAACTAAATCTATGCCGATCTGATTATGAGACCAAGTATTATAATTCTATTTTAGTCACTAAGACACAAATTCAGCTGTATATATTATACCAACTATATAAACCAGGCAAAATAGTAAATGCTATTTATTCTTAACAACAACTACTAATATTCATGAAGCACTTTCTAAGATCTAAGTACTGGTCTAAGCAACCTACAAATTTATGTTTACATATACACACACATTCATTTAATCCTCACAATAATGCTATGAAATAGTACCACTAGGCAAGAGAAGCTGAGTAACTCTCTTCTAATAATATACAACTAAAAAACTGCATGAGCTAGGAGTCAAGCCCAGGCAACCTAGAGCCAGAGCCCGCCAGGCTCCTCTGTCCATGGAGTTCTCCAAGCAAGAATACTGGTGTGGGTACCCATTCCCTTCTCCAGGGGATCTTCCTGACCCAGCGATCAACCCTGGGTCTCCCGCTTGCAGATGGATTCTTTACCAGTTGAGCTACCAGGGAAGCCCAATAAGGGCTATATGCCAGGCAAAGTACTCATCACTTTATATCCAATATCTCATTTAAACTGTCACAAAAACAGAACTTATTTTAAAGCTTTGTTATCACTACTCGATGTATGACAAAGGAAAGTAACCTGTAACTTGTTCAAAAATCACAAAACTCTTAGGTTCGAGAATTGAGTCACAAACCTAGGTCTGTAGATTCAAAAACAGTGCTCTTCACTACTATAATATATTTTTAAGTAAAGCACTTATAGCAATATTTAGGATGACTTGTCAAAAGTCAACTTATAGGCAAGCATCTATTTCAATGGACTCTTTGAAAACATATGGTTAAAAAAAAAAATATGGTTACTTTTCTAGAACTTTTCAATAAGTAAGAATGCTTATTAAAAGTTTGAGCCCTTTCCAAAGTAGTTAAATCTTCCTGGAGTGAATGTATTCGCTACCTGAGAAATAATGACACAGTCAGCACTCTGCTCCCTCTGGTTTCTCTCCTAACCTACTTACACCCACTCCAGGTAAAGCATTCCGTTATCGACCTCCTGCTTGGCCTGCAGCTTAGCTTGCCGATAAACCTCTGAAGTTTCCAGTTCACAGAGGCCCAGTTGCACAATATTAGGAAATGGCTGTCGTCCAAGAAGATGTCCATTTAAAGATAAAAACTCCTGGAAATTCTCACAGTCTGTACCATCCTATGAACAAAATCGAATTGCTTAGAAACATAACCAGAGCCAAGATCAGACATTTTTCTGTTTCTGTGATCTTGTCACTTTAAAGACTTAAATATTCTCTATATGAGCTAAAATTAAATAGCCAACCATTAGGTAACAAATACACAGTGATCCTCTTCAGACTTTTAAACACAGGGTAAAAAAGTCTCATTATCAAAGTACTGCTCTAACACATTCTTTTTCCTAAAAAAAAATAAATAAATAAAAATCACTGAACACTTTATTTCCCAGCTTTCAAATCTCAATCCTATTCACATTCCCAGTAGGAAAGTAGACAAAATAATGAGACTAATCAAGATTAAAGTGAGGAAATTATTGCTCTTCACCTCTTCTATTTTGCTCATCCCCAATATTAAATCTAGAATTAAATGTATGTCCTTTAAGGACTTATTTTTAATATTAATATATACCTTTTCATCCAATATATGCCTGTACTCCACAAATTCATGAATCAGATGAGCAGGGCCTACAAGTTCCGTTTTTGCTTTAATCCAATCCAGGGAAAACATTAAAGCACACAGTTCCTTTAAAAACAAAAAAAGTAAGATCAGGAGCTCTGTTCGAGAAAACAAAGCATTTTAAATCTACCATCATTACCCTAGCACTACTGAGAGAAACTTAGCAGATACCTAGAATTTAAGGACAAGAACGAACATATTAATAATTCCAAAGAAACAGAAAATGAACCTCACAGCCTAACTCAAATTTCAGTTGGACTATTAAGACTTAAATACAAAACAGAAACTTCAAAAACCACCAGAAGATACAGATATTTACTATTTTTGTAACCCTGGGGTGAAGGAAATTTTCATACACATGACACCAAAACAAAATATCAGAAAGAAAAACAGTGATGCATTTAACTACATATAAGCTCAAATCTTTAATACATTATCAATATAAATAAAATTTAAGACAAAAAATAAAACAGGAAAAGAATTTATTTACAAATGTATGGTAGATGAGAACTTAGTATCTTTTCTTTTAAAAATTATAACAAGAAAAAGACAAACACTCCAACAGAAAAATAGGTAAAGGCAACAGATGAGAGCCAACTCACAAAATAAAAAATACAAATGGTCATGAATCTCACCAATAATCAAAGGGAAACAACAAACATTTATGTTTCATTATTATCAGATTTTTAAAAGATTAAAAGGAATGTAAGAATATTAGCTAGAATCAGAGGAAATGATCACTCTTGTACACTGCTGGCAGTGATATAAATCAGAGCACTCTTCTAGAGGACAGTTTGGCAATCTACATTAAAATTCAAGCTGTTAAAAAAAAAAAAAATTCAAGCTGTATACATCACCAACCCAACATTACACTTACAAAGGTGTCCTAAGAAAATAAGCCAGTCGAGTGTGCTTAAGTAATCTAACCATCTCTGAAGCAACTGACCAACCATAATGTAGCTATACAATTAAATAGTATACAGCTTTAAAAAAATTATGTTTAAAAAATTATTGGGACTTTCCTGGTGGTCCAGTGGCTAAGACTCTGCCTTCCCAGTGCAAAGGGCCCCATTTCAATCCTTGATTGGAGAACTAGATCCTCCCACATGCCACAACTAAGACATTCCCATGCTGCAACTAAGACCTAGCACAGCCAAATAAATAAATAATTTTTAAGTATATAAAAAATGTTAGCTCGAAAGAAAATTATATCAGTCTATATAAACTGGCCAAAAAAATAACCATAAAATACAATTAACTAGAAAAAAACAAAATATAAGACTATGTTCCTATCAAGATCCCATTCTGGTTTTAAACAACAGGTGTGTGTATCTGAGCAGCAAAATGACCTAGAAAACTACACACAAAAGCATTAGCAATGGCTATGATCTTCATTTAGTTTTTTCTTCAGTTTTCCAAAGTAAGCAAGCCACTATTTTTAAAAATCAAGGGAAAAAAAGGTTAAAAAATGAAAGGAACTGAATCCTATCACACTATCATACATGTCAAATGTTTTTAAAAGGTGCATTGACCCAGTAATTTCACTTCAAGGCATTTCCAAAGGAAATAATACAGGTATGAAGACAAACAATTTCATTACATCATCTTAAGGCGGGGGGGGGACTGAAAACCTAAATGTTGAACAACTAAAGTTTGGTTAAGTAAATTAGAGCATAGATAGATATTTATTGGAATACCATCATTTCAATGTTGATTATTAAACAAACGATTTTGCTAGGTGGAAAAAAGTAGGCTACAATACACCATATTCATAATCAAGAGACGATATACCTTAGCATAGAAAACTTCAAAGTACATATGTTTTCTAAAATGTTAACATTTTGAAAGGACTTCAAATATCATCTATGTGCTGATGATTCCCAAATTTTATCTTTATAACATAGGCTTCCCCATAGGTTAAGGTTGGTATACCCAACTATATGCTCAATATTTTCAGTCAGATATCTTAATAGGTACGGCAGACTTAATATATTCCAAATGAGTTCCTAATCGTCCCATCATCCTTGGAAAAATATTTGTTTGACCCACAGCTATTCCCATCTCAGTTCACCGCAACTCCAATCTTTCCACTGCACAAGCTTGAAGTTATCTTTGACTCCTCTTTCTCTTATGATACACATCAAATTCTCAGCAAATCACAATGATCCCAGCACCAAAATCATCACTTCCTTTCTCCATGTAGAGGGCTTTTTCCTTCTTCTGAGCACCTACTATCCCTTGACATACTAGAAATCTATCTGTCCTGTATCAGTATCTCCCCAGCATATAAGTTCAATGAGAGCAGGGACTTTGTGCCCGTGGTATGTTGTTCATAATGAAAAACAATACCAGTACACAACAGGCACTCCATAAACATTTACTGAATGAATATACTTTCCCAGCCTCCATTTCCTCTCAAAACTTAAAAACAAATCCGTATCACCCACAAAGATAGTTACTGGTATGAAGAGAGTTAATTTTTAGGGGGTTCACTTACTGCAGTTACTAAGGTACCTGCAGGTAAAAACAGTTAACAAAAACTAAATATTTGCATACAGTATAACCCTATTTTTACCAATAAAAGAAAATTCTCAAGACAAAAGTCAGAACGAAGAAAATAATGTTTCTTAATGAGTCATCTTACTTTGTGCATATTAGCACTGGCCATATGATAGGCCAAAAAATTGTACCAATACATGCAGTCCTCCTGATCTGGTGAAAGAGAATGCAGCCGGTGATGGCTCTGGAACTGAGTGACCATCTTCTTGTGTAGATCCTGAAACCCAAATGAAACATTTCAGAAGACAGAAGCAATTTCATAACCCAGGCATCACAGAAACTCCACCAGGACTTCCCTGGTGGCACAGTGGGTGGGAATCCACCCGCCAATGCGGAGGACATGGGTTAGGTCCCTGGCCTGTGAAGACTCCACATGCCACTGAGAAACTAAGCCCACGTGCCACAAGTACTGAGCCCTCGGCTCCAGAGTCGAAAGCTGTAACTACCAAGCCCATGTGCTGCAACTGCTGAAGGCCGCATACCTAGAGCCCATACTCCCCAACAAGAGAAGCCACCGTAATGAGGCCCGTGCACAGCAACGAAGAGTGGCCCCCACTTGCTGCAACTCTAGAGAAAGCCCATGCAAAGAAACAAAGACCAAAATAAATAAAATTATACATTAAAGAAAAGGTACAGAGAATCTCCCCACAAGATACACATTAATTACAAAAGGAAAAAACAGTAACTTTACAGTGGAGAAACTTTAACCAGGTAATCAGTGCTGCTATCACTGGGGAGCCATTATCAACACCCTGGGTGTGATGCCCCGAGAAGGACACACAGCACCTCTGTAGTGTTACTGCCAAAAATACACAACCTTGCTCTAGTCAAGAGAAAGCATGAGACAAACCCAAACTAGGGAACACTGTACAAAATGCCTGGTGAGTACTCTTCCAAAGGGACCACAGAAGAAAGCAAGCTGAGACATTGTTCTAAATTTGAGTAAACGAAGGAATGGACAATATGTAATATGAGAAACAAGTGAATCTGATCTACACAAAGGACATTAATGGGAAAGCTGGGAAATTCAAATAAAGTATCAGCTAACAGTTCTTTTCTTGTCCTTGTTCGTCGCTCAGTCATGTCCGATTCTGTGCAACCCCATGACTGTAGCCCGCCAGGCTCCTCGGTCTGTGGTATTCCCCAGGCAAGGACACTGGAATAGGCTGCCATTCCCTTCTCCAGGGGAAGTGAGTCCCAGTACTTAGTCAATGTTAATGTTCTGGCCTTGATAACTCTATTACAGTTATGTAAGACGTTAACATTGAGGGAAGCTAGGTAAAGGTATACACATAGAAACTATACTATTTTCTATACTAAAATTCTATAAGACTTTTAAGTAGTGGGATTTCTACATCCTCTACCCTACCTCCTCAGGCATGCAGGTTTTATCTTGCTAATATCCTCTGTACTAAGCCAAAGCTTACATGCCACAAATAAGGGGATGACAAAGATTGTTGATCCATCTATTACCTTTGTAGGCACCTTAACATCTTTCTGAAAGATGGAAAGATCTGTGTAATAATCTTTGATGTCTTCTCTGAGCATTTCAACACTTATAGACATGGCTTCATCTAGAGCCTCATAATCATAAGATGAAGATTTTCTTATCCTCTTAAATTGCTTATTCTGAAGTTGCCTGAGGTAGTACTCCCAGCGGTTGGGAAAATCTCGTAAAAGTGCACCAATTAAAGACACTACAAGAGGGGAACCTAAAAAATTAAAAAAAAAAAAACAACACTGTGTTAATACTGTATCATTTCCAAATTACCACCAAGTTAAGAATCAATCTGTCCTCCAAGAAAGAATTTTTGCTGCATGCCATCCAAAGCCTCAAAATACATAACTCTTGGATTCACTTCAAGTATTTATTCTAAGTCACTAAAAATAAGAACTATTTCATTTAAGGATGTTAATTACAGCATTGCTCAAAATAGTAAAAAATTTTAAATAATAACAGGGAAATGACTGAATAAATTAGAGTATATCACAATATTGTGCCACTGGTAGATTTTTTTCAAAAGATTTTAATGACAGAAAAATGCTTAAGATTTGCCATTAAATGGATAAGACTGAAAATTGTGGGAATTCCCTGATGGTCTGATGGTTAGGACTCCATGCTGACTGCCAAGGGCATGGGCTCTGTCCCTGCAAAATAATTCAGGGAAATAAGATCCCACAAGTCACAAGACATGCTGCTGCTGCTGCTAAGTCACTTCAGTCGTGTCCGATTCTGTGCAACCCCATCCCTGGGATTCTCTAGACAAGAACACTGGAGAGGGTTGCCATTTCCTTCTCCAATGCATGAAAGAGAAAAGTGAAAGTGAATTCACTCAGTCATGTCCGACTCTTCGCGACCCCATGGACTGCAGCCCACCAGGCTCCTCCATCCAAGGGATTTTCCAGGCAAGAGTACTGGAGAGGGGTGCCATTGCCTTCTCCACACAAGGCATGGCCAGAAAAGTAAAAATAAAAGAAATAAAATCCCAACCAAAAAAAATTAAAGTTTGACTCACTATATTTTTTATTCTTTGATAGCAGAGGCCATGTCTTCATCTTACCCCATGCATAACATACGTGTCTTCATTAACTATTATTTTAATTAATGAATGAATAACAAAATATCACTATCTATTTATGGCAACAGAGAAGAACTTAAAATACTAAATATTCTAGTAAAGTTTCTGAATGTGATGTGTTATAAATTGTCATGTTCGAGGGCAGACAGAATAAGCAAGAAGAAACACAATCACACAGCCTCCAAAACAAAAACTACATTATAGAAAGTTCATCAGAATGAAAAAGCAAAAAGTTATGTGCCAGAAGAAGAGACAAGATAAAACCCCAGGAAAACAACGAAATGAAGTGGAGATAGGTAACTTTCCAGAAAAATAACTCAGAATAATGATAATGAAGATGATCCAGGATCTCAGAAACAGAATGGAGAAAACACAAGAAATGTTTATCAAAGATCCAGAAGAACTAAAGAACAGACATGAACAATACACTAGAAGGAATCAACAGCAGAATAACTAAGGCATAAGGATGGAAAAATTTCCTGGAGGACAGAATGGTGGAAATCACTGCTACAGAACAGAATATAGAAAAAAGAATGAAAAAAAAATGAAGAGAACCTAAGAGACCTCTGGGACAACATTAAACACACCAATGTTAGCATTATAAGGGTCCCAGGATAAGAGGGAGAGAGAAAGGACCCAAGAAAATATTTGAAGACATAATAGCTGAAAACTTCCCTAACATGGGCAAGGAAATAGTCAACCAAGTCCAGGAAGAACAGAGTGTTCCAGGCAGGATGAACCCAAGAAGGAACACACCGAGACACACAGTAATCAAATTGACGAAAATTAAAGATAATAAATTAAAGAAATAAAGCATTAAAAGCATTTAAAGAAATAAAGCATTAAAAGTAACAAGGGAAAAACAACAAATAACATACAAGGGAACTCCCATCAGGTTATCAGCTGATTTCTCAACAGAAACTACAAGTCAGAAGGGAATAGCACAACATATTTAAAGTGATGAAAGGGAAAAACCTATAATCAAGAATACTACACCCAGCAAGACTCTTGTTCAGATTTGACGGAGAAATCAAAAGCTTTCCTAACAAGCAAAAGTTAAGAGAATTCAGCACTACCAAACCAGCCTTACAACAAAAGCTAAAGGAACTTTTCTAGGCAGGAAACACAAGAGAAGGAGAAGATCTACACAAAATAAAGCCAAAACAATTAAGAAAATGGTAATAGGATCATATATACTGATAATTACTTTAAATGTAAATGGATTAAATGCACCAACCAAAAGACATAGACTGGCTGGGCAGATGAAAATCTGAGCATGTATGCACTTGCACTTACCACGTCACTCTACATAACCCCCCAAATTTTATGTGATTACTTTATGTTGTTAGGTTAATCGTGTTTCCACTACGGCTCGAAATTGCAATTATCTGTTATTTCTCATCTGGCTATTGACTGTGAAAACTGATAAACATCTTTTACTGTTGCAATTATGTAACTATTATTCACTTACTACCACTGTATCATGATTAGTCAACAGAAAATAACAGAATTCTATTATCACTAAAACTACCATTTAATAGAAAAACCTGTAATCACTTTTAAAATTCAGATGCATATCAGAATTATGTAGGAATTTTCTGAAAAATACAAATGCCCAGGTATTGTTTTTCTCCAAAGCTCCAGATGTATTTCTAATGAGAAGCCATATTTAAAAACAACTGGACTATGTGATGACCTCTTACTTTTATCTAGTTTTTCATTTTTTCTATTTCATATTTGGTGCTCCACTTCACTTAGTTTATGTTTTCCAATTTCTTCATCTTTTTTCTTGTAGTCTTCTCAAGCCTTTATCAAGTATAGTAGAAAAGCTTTTGTATACATAAGTAGTATGCATTAATATATATTTTATAAAAATTATGAATTTTTGCCTAGCTCAAAAATTTGTGACATTTTGATTCCACCTGTTTGACTTAGTATGAATAGAATGCTAGATTTCTAGTTCATATTCACTCAAAACTTTGCTGTAGTTTCATGTATTTTGGCATCTAGTATTACTGCTAAATATCAACTTCTGCTTTATTGACTACGCTAAAGCCTTAACTGTGGGTATCACAACAAACTGGAAAATTCTTAAAAAGAGATGGGAATACCAGACCACCTTACCTGCCTCTTGAGAAACCTGTATGCAGGTCAAGAAGCAACAATTAGAACCAGACATGGAATAACAGACTGGTTCAAAACTGGGAAGGGAGTACATCAAGGCTGTATATTGTCACCCTGCTTGTTTAACATGTATGCAGAGTACATCATGCAAAATTCTGGGCTTGATGAAGCACAAGCTGGAATCAAGATGCCAAGAGAAATATCAATAACTTCAGATATGCAAATGACACCACCCTTATGACAGAAAGCAAAGAAGTACTAAAGAGCTCCTTGATGAAAGTGAAAGAGGATAGTGAAAAAGCTGACTTGAAACTCAACACTCAAAAAACGAAGATCATGGCATCCATTCCCACTGTTCATGGCAAACAGATAGGGAAACAATGGGAACAGTGAGAGACTTTTTCTTGGGCTCCAAAATCACTGCAGCCATGAAATTAAGACACTTGCTCTGTGGAAGAAAAACTATGACAAACCTAGACAGAATATTAAAAAGACAAGACATTACTTTGCCAACAAAGGCCCACAGAGTGAAAGCTATGGCTTTTCTAGTAGTCATGCATGGTCCAACAGTGTTAAACCATAAAGAAGGCTGAGCCCTGAAGAATTGTTTTTGAACTGTGGTGTTGGAAAAGACTCTTGAGAGTCCTTGTACTGCAAGAAGATCCAACCAGTCCATCCTAAAGGAGATCAATCCCGAATATTCACTAGAAGGACTGATGCTGAAGTTCCAATACTGTGGCCACCTGATGCAAAGAGCTGACATTAGAAAAGACCCTGAAGGCGGGAGGAGGAGGGGACAACAGAGGACAAGATGGTTGGATGGCATCACTCAGATCAATGGATCTGAGTTTGAGCAAGCCCTGGGAGTTGGTAATGGAAAGGGAAGCCTGGCAGTGCTGCAGTCCCTGGGGATGCAAAGAGTTCAGGCACGACTGAGCAACTGAACAACAACAATTACTGCTAAAAGTCTAGAAAATGTATTATATTAGTGATTTTTAAAAAAATGAGGCTTGAAACTTCTAATCCAATTCTGATAAAGAAATACCATTGTGGAAAAAAACAAAACAGGAAATTAACATGTGACAGTATTATTAACTAAAATACAGATTTTGTTCAAATTTCACAAAATTTTATGCACATGTCCATCATTTGTTTTCATAGCTTATTCAAGACTCCACACTGTATTTAATTGCATTGAACAGCTTCAGCTGCATGCAACAAATACTGGTAAATTCTCTTCATTTTTATTCTATTACAAACATTTTCTAATTTTCCTTACATGGCTTCTTAGATACACCCATCATTTAAACATAGACATTTAATTACCAAATACATAGGATTTTTTCAAGTATCTTTGATATTAATTTCTCATTTGGTTATTAATTTCTCATTTAAATACTTTCTTCTCTGCAATCACCCTCTGTGTTTTTAGTCTCCTAACTTTATTGAGACTTTCAATACTAAGTAAAAGATCTCTCTTGGTAAATGTCACACTGCACTTAAAGATATGTGGGTTATTTTCACATATCTTTTGATATTGATTTCTAACATAATTCCACAGCATTAAGAGAACAGACTCTGTATGATTTCAATATCTTTAGACCACGAAATTTTGTACTTTTCTTTATGTCCCTGGATATATCCCAGTGTCTCCCAGTTTATAGTCTATGGGAACTTGAATAGAAGTTGTATCCTACTTTTGTAAAAAAAAAAAAAAGTAAATTGTCATGTTCAATAGCTTAACTCACAAAAGGGTAAATTAGTATCTCTATAACTCCCTCATACACAAAATAAATAACTATACCTTTACATTCTTGTATAATACTGTGAGCTTGTTCTGGCAAATCTGTTTTCTTCATATTAACAAAAAGGGATAAGATTTCAAGTCCTTTTTCTTTTCCTAAACCACTCTCCACAGGCACTACATATTTAGGACCTGCAAAATCACCAAAACATAGTAAGCAATTTGGTATGCCACATATTTAAATGTAACTGAATCATCATAAAAAGAAAATTAATAATACTTACCCATTACTGAATCTGTAACACTCTTATCTCTGGTTGTGAGAAGAATTTGACACTGATTGTCAAAAGCTTTTAACACCCAAGGATCCCAAATATCATCCAAGATCAATAAAGACCTTAATAAGAAAAAAACTGTATTGAGCCACTAATGAAATTTATTTTAAACTTCCTTTCAAAAAAAAAAAGAGTATGCCAGGGTGTTTTGTTTTTTAACTTACAAAATTTTTGTTTAAAAGATGTCTATATTGTTTGTTCTCTCCTTTGGTATCCCTTACACAATATACCAATAAGAAAAAGATTTAGAGACTTCTCCTTCCTTCTACCCCAAATCACTTCATATTAAAGTTAAGGGACTTACAAAAAGAGAACTGTGAATACCATGTAAATATTAGAAGTAAGCCCCCTAGCATCTAAAAAGAACTATCTAAACAAGGAGATTTTTTCAACTTTAAGCATCCAAACAAAACAAGAACTGGGCTTAGGTTAGCATTAGAAAGCGTCACAGAACAATAACAATATTTGATCATTTTTCACCTACAAAACCAGCAGTTTCATATGTTCCAACCTAACAGAATGCATCAGCAAATACTATTTTTCACTTGGTACACTAGTGCACTAGAAATCAATTTGTTTACGCATAATGACAAAGAACCTCTGTGCTAATTCCTAACTGGCCCCTCCAAACACTAACAGAACAAACAGAGAAAAACAAAACTGAAACCTGACAACATAATCACACACCAGCGTTTTTATCCGGCTGGCACTCTGCTTCTGTACACCACAAAAACAGACTCTAGGAACACACACAGGTTGGAAAACGACAAAAGCATACGCCAAAATGATGCTGAGAAACAAAATGGCTGCCTTTATATAACATGGTCTGGTATATCTGGAGCGGGTACAGTATTTTCCTAAACAGAAATCATTTTAATTTTTGCAAAGAAAGAAAGTAGGACTAAGCAGAAGTTACTGAGCAAGAAAAGAGGAAGTGGTTAGTGGTCTCAATCCCATTTCTCCATGAAAACAGATACTAGTGACTATCAAGGCAAAGGCGAGATAATAGAGTTATCTAGTAAAGAAACCAGAGAAAAGGGAGATTTGCTCTCTGTAGTGAATATGATCATAATCACTAGGAGGTTTTTTCCAAAAATCATTCCTCTCCCCCAATATCCCGATATGAATCCTCTTACCAGTTTGGGAATCACTGCCATAGTCCAGCCACTGTCACACATGAAAGCACACAGCATCATTAGGTGCATCAGGGCAATAAAAAAATTCAGAGCCATTACCTAGTTCTCACCCATTTTAATGTTACACTCACAAGGAATGCTTTACTCATCTTTGCACTTGTAGCACTTGACCCAGAACCTGGCACAACACTCAATGTTGGTTAAATGAACAAACGAAAGAAGGGCTGCTAGATCACAGAAACCAAAGGCAACAACTAAGCTTCTGTCTCCCTCTGGTTAATGAAAATTATGAAATAGCTAGTAATACTTCCTGGAACATAATTATAATGGTATTTACTTAATAAATTATTGAAATAAAAGAAACTATTAAAGTATAGGGAAGTAGAAGAGTTACATGCATACCCAAAAACTGAAATAACACAGCAGAAGGATCCCATTAAACAAAAATCTTTCCTGACTCCATCTTTCACAAGTTGGCTACATTTATTCTGTCCTTCATTCTATGTTAATCTATTAGAAATAACGGTTTCAAGGTAAAACGTTTGCATTTTTCTAATAAAAACCACCTACTTAGGAAGTATTTCTTAAGAGCCTACAATGGTATTCAAGAGAGAACACAGCATGTATCATGCAAACAACAGTGGCAACCACTTTTTTTTTTTAATACAAGAGAAAGAACAGAAAAACAATGGTTCTTTTTCAATCTTCTACCCAAGAGCAAGAAAAGGTTATGATGTTCTCCAGATGTCAGTAGTTAAGTCTCACTGGGACTCCACACATCAACTGAATACGACCATCTGTACCTTGGATGTTTGCGCAGCATCAGAATGCGGAGACGGTCTTTAGCCTCTTCAATATTAAGTGGAAGCCTCTGGGAGAAGCTCTCATCCTGATCCAACCGTGCGCAAAGGTTCTGCAGCTTCATCAGAAGCCCGGATTTGTCCTGTTTCCCAACTGACACCCAATGCACACCCCCTGGGAAACAATCTGGTGAGGAAAAGGAAAATAAATTTAAGGTCTTTAAACAAGAGTCCCCTTTGAAAGATTTTACTGATAGGCAGCAGTAAAGATTTGTTCCAATCTTTGATTTCATCACATCTCCAAACTTCTCTTGATTCAGAGTATATATGTTGTTTGTAGGACTATTATTGAGCTTCAGAGCCCAAATCTAAGAAAAGTTGAAGATGTGAATAAATTGAAGTTTGGTGTTCATCCGCTACATATTAGTAAAATCTTACCAAACAAAATTTCAAATCTTTGTCCTGTGTCCTCAATGATTACTGTATAACAGTTTCTCAACAGAAGCACTCTGGACATTTTGGGCCAGATAATTCTTTCTTGTGAGGGAACTGTCTTAAGCATTACAGGACATTCAGCAGCCTCCCTGGCCTCTATCCACTGGAAGCCAGCAGCACTTCCCCTCCCCAGCTATGACAACCAAAAATGTCTCCCACATTTGTCACATATCCCCTGAGAGGAAAAATCATCTCTGACTGAGAACCACTGATGTGGTTCCTGAGAACACATAACTCGTTCATTATGGTTCTCATACAGAGACTTCAAGTAAGAAGTTAGGCTCAAGTCTGGCGCTACTGCTTACTAGCTATGATACCTTTAGCAAATCACTAACTTCAATATCATATACAATACTAGAATAAGACTGTTTACCCCTGCCTACTTCAGTTACTATAAGAAATTAATGTATATAATATGTGATTTAGCTATGTTAAAAGTAAAAGGTTATAATAGACAGGATTATTAGTGATAAGATTGAGACCAACTTTCATATAATTAAGCTTTGAACTAGTAAGCATTATAATAAGAACAGACATTATTATTACTGCTGTCAACTGACATCATCATCATTTTTGTTAATACAAGCCACGTGTGCCAAGTCGTGCGTCCAACTCTGTGCAAACCTATGGGCCAAAGGCCGCCAGGCTCCACTGTCCATGGGATTTCCCAGCAAGAACACTGCAGGGGGTTGCCATTTGCTCCTCCAGGTGATCTTTCCACCCAGGGACCAAACCCATGTTTCCTGTATTGGCAGGTGGATTCTTTACCACGGAGCCACCAGGGAAGCCCAACACAATGATTACACATCTACTAAATAAACTAAGTAAAACTGCCAGGATATGATCATGAATTTAAACTGAAGCTCAGTCAGGTGATTATCTTCTGTAAAGAAGACAGAAATAACGTCTGAATAAAGCAACAGGGAGCACAGAGAAGGCATCAGCTTTCATTCAAGATAAGGAGAGAACTAAAGAGTACGTACTGAGGAGCAACTGAATAACAGGCAATAAAAATCCAGGCCCAAGGCTGAGAGGGGGCTGATGGGACAAATGGAGAGGATATTACGCTATTAACGGATAAGACTCAGAAAACTGTAGTGAACTTGAAAAACAGAGTAGATGGAGGTAAGCCGAGTGGAATAGAATTTTATAATCAAGATTTCAAAAGTGGTATCATTTCTGGTAATGCCAAAGGCCAGGATCCAACCTGTGACCAGTAAACTATATAGCTGAAGGGGAGTGAAGAAAATGGTCACTGTAGATACATAAGTCAAGGAACTGAAAGGCCAAGGTTTTGGATGACTCATCCACATAGATATCAAATCACTAAGATTGCCAGCAGAAGGAGGACTTAAATTTATAACTAAGAACTCCAATCAATCAATCAGAGGGCTATAATATAACCGGGAAAGATTAGAAAAATGAACTTCAAAGGACAAAGAATTTAGCTGGAGAAAGGAGTATTAAAGGCCCAGATGAGGCAACAAAGAGCAAAGTAAGCATCCATCCATTTCTTAGTGCTGAAATATGTGAAATACAAAGGGAAAAGGGTTACCACACCACTGAAAAAGGCTACCGGTATCCTCAGGAAAACTGCCCCGTTTCACATAAAACAAGGAGGTCTAAGAAGGGTTGATGATATAGAGGAGTTTCCTGACCACAGAGGAGGAAGTCTAGAAAGCACAGCAAAGGCTTGGGAATGAGAGGAAAGGACCTAGATCAGAATTTGGCAATGAATTGGGTGGTAACTACATGAGAATCTAAAAGACGATACATGACCAGAAGAAGCAATGCTATGTAACCGAGGTATGGCAGGGCTGTTAAGCACTGTTTGATCACCAGTGCCTATGTCTCCGATGAAGGTAAACAAGTCCCACTTTCCTGTCTTTTATTTCGGCTGTGCCGGGTCTCCGGCGCTGCACGCAGGCTTTCTCTAGCTGAGGCCACTGGGGGCTGCTCTCTGACTGCGGTGTGCAGCCTCCTCCTTGGGGCGCCTTCCCTTACTGCAGAGCACGGGCCCAAGATCTGAGGGCTCAGTAGCTGCAGCACACGGGCTTAGCTGCTCCGAGACATGTGCGATCTTAGTTCCCAACCAGGGTTTGAACCCCACTGGAAGGTGGATTCTTAACAACTGGACTGCCAGGGAAATCCCAACAAGTCTCCCTCTTTCCTGCTGAAAGCTTCCTGACGCTCTCTGGGCTTGCTAAAGTCAACAGCTATGAGAGAGTGAACCCCTGGGGCTCTGCTCAGCGCCACAGCTGTGCTCCGTGCTGGTGACAGTGTTCAGTCGCTCAGTTGTGTCCAGCTCTTCTGTGTATGTACATGTGTGTAAGCGCACTGGAGAAAGCTTGGGAAAACACACTCTCAGCTGTTAACCATGACTACCTCTGGTGAAGAATGGAGGAGAAAGGAAAGCAGGACAAGGGAAGAAAAATTTTACTTCATTTTAAATGAAAATACTACTACTGTAATATTTAAAACAGTTTTAAACTACATGCTGCTCCTAAGGGGTTTTTCTTTAATTTGTGCTTTCTACTTAAGATTTTTCAAACTCATCCTAGGGTTCAAGACAAGGTAAAGAAAGTAGCCAGACACAACTGGCTAGTGAACTCCGCAGATTTAAATTTAAATACCTACTATCTACATCAAAGGTCTCTCTCCTAACCTTAGAAGTAAATTAGGGCATTACTAACATATGCAAGAAAAATAATGAACTATTGCTTGGAGAGAAAGACAAACAGGACTATTCCCTGCTTGTCCAGTGGTTAAGACTCTGCGCTTTCATTGCAGGAGGCACAGGTTTGATCCCTGGTCAGGTAACTAGGATCCTGAATGCTTCACAGTGTAGTCAGGGGAAAAAAAAAAAACAACAGACCAAAAGACCAACTGATCTGCAAATCTCCTATCACTGGGAGCATAAATTTCACATTTCAGAAAGAATCCAAACATCTTGACTGTGGGCACAAGAGGGAGCAATTTAGCCTTGAATGAGGCTTGCACCTATAATTCACTCAGAGAAATTTAAGCAAAGAAAAAAAAAATGCCTTTATTCAGAGAAAATTAACCCATCCTCCTCTTACAAGAGGTTTATTGAGGTAGCAATTAATAATCTAACAGTATCAAGAAGTCCTGGGAAGGAAGGAAGGAAACAGGTAGACAGCCTCTAGAGAAAACTTCCACATCCTTAGAAACTCAGCACTGAAATACAATCGTGTAAATGGTTGAAAAATTCACCAAACTCTTTTAATTTTTAATTTGTCAAATTAAATGGTTGAACTTTCAAAAGGAAACTGGGTTCTTAAAAATATACAGACAGAAACAGTTAAGAACTTAATAGTGTTCATCAATTTAGACCAAACACCACCCTAAGGTAACACAGTTTCTACAGAAACCAGTTTTAATGCAGTTTGTAACCCATACAGTTACCTGTACTTTCAAAAGAAAAACTAAGGTTTTATAACAATGGCAAAATCTAGTATTCCTATATTTTAGAATACACATAAACTCCAGAGATTAAAAGTAATCTTTGTTGTTGTCTTTCAGTCGTGTCCACCTCCATCTTGAGGGAGGTATCTACTCTTGAACTAGTGGATATGCAAAAGCAGACTTCAGATTAAAAGGCCAAATACGAATGGAAGACTATAAAAGGACTCTTACTGTCAGTCGCTAAGTTGTGTCCGACTCTTTGCGACCCCATGGACCCCATGTCAGGCTTCCCTGTCCTCCCCTGTCACCTGGAGTCTGTTCAAACTCATGTCCACTGAGTTGGTGATACCATCTAACCGTCTCAACTTCTGATACCCCCTCCTCCTCCTGCCCTCAATCTTTCCCAGAGTCAGGGTCTCTTCCAACAAGTCAGCTCTTCAAGTCTGTCGGCCAAAGTATTGGAGCTTTGGCATCAGAACATCCAATGAATATTCAGGGTTGATTTCCTTTACAATTGACTGGTTTGATCTCCTTGCTGTCCAAGGAACTCTCGAGAGACTTCTCCAGCACCACAATTCGAAAACATCAATTCTTTGGTGCTCAGCCTTCTTTATGACCCAACTCTCACATCCATACCTAATTACTGGATAATAATAATAATACTAGATAATAGGACTATTTAAAATTCAGGAAGAAAAAAAATTCAGGAAGCACAAATTAGAAGGCAAAAAAAATGACTAATCTGACTACATCAGAATTAAAGATTTCTATCAAAGACATCTAGGACAAAGTTAATACAGATGATATAAGGAGAAAGTATTTACAGAGTCTAAAACCAGTAAGTCCTACTATCTATAGCATTCAAGAAACTCCTTAAAAGCAACAAGATGGAAAGAACAATAAATGATATCAATAAACTTTACAACAAGGAAACTCAAAAAGCTAAAAAACTTATAAAGAAATGGTCAAGCTCAAGTTATCACAGAAATGTAAACTAAGGTATGATTTCACATCTGCTAGCCTGTCAATAATCTCAAAGATGGAAGATAATCTAATATTAGTAGGAAGTGAGGACATAGGAGTCATCACACGTTACTGATAGGAATGCACAGATAGGAGGGCAATCAAATCTGGTATTTATATACCCTGTATATTTACAAAGAATATAGATTAAGTAGGCTTCTCAGGTGGTGCTAGTGGTAAAGAACCTGCCTGCCAATGCAGGAGGCATAAGAGATGTGGGTTCAATCCCTGGGTCAGGAAGAT